TGCTGTGGCGTCAGCCTAGCTCACAGCAACCTCAAACTTCTGGGCTCAAGTGATCCTCCTGCCTCAGTCTCCCAAGTAGCTGGGACTACAGGCATATGCCACCATGCCCAGCTAATTTTTTCTATATATTTTTTGTTGTCCAGCTAATTTCTTTCTATTTTTAGTAGAGATGGGGTCTCACTCTTGCTCAGGCTGGTCTTCAACTGACCTTGAGTGATCCTCCCGCCTCAGCCTCTCAGAGTGCTAGGATTGCAAGGCATGAGCCACCGCACACCCAGCCATACTTTTTATCTTTTTTAAAAAGCCAACATTTTGTTTCATTTAGCTTCTGTATTGTACCATTCATTTACTTTTAATCTATATGTGTCATTATATCTAAAGTGGTTTTTTATAGACAACACAGCTGGGTCTTGCTTTTTGACAATCTCTATGTTTTAATTGGTATATTTAGACCATTGATGTTTAAGGTAATTATTGACATAGTTGGATTAATATCTACCATATTTGTTACTGTTTTCTATTTGTTGTCCTCTTTCTTTCTTTCTTTCTTTCTTTCTTTCTTTCTTTCTTTCTTTCTTTCTTTCTTTCTTTCTTTCTTTCTTTCTTTTTTATCTTCCATTTCTTTTCTGCCTTTGTGGGTTTTTTTGAGACAGAATCTCACTCTGTTGCCTGGGCTGGAGTGCCGTGACATCAGCCCAGCTCACAGCAACCTCAAACTCCTGGGCTCAGGTGATCCTCCTGCATCAGCCTCCCAAGTAGCTGGGACAACAGGCATGTGCCACCATGCCCGGCTAATTTTTTTTCTATATATTTTTAGTTGGCCAATTAATTTTTTTCTATTTTTAGTAGAGATAGGGTCTCACTCTTGCTCAGGCTGGTCTCAAACTCCTGAGCTCAAATGATCTGCCCGCCTCAGCCTCTCGGAGTGCTGGGATTACAGGCGTGAGCCACCGCACCCTGCCTGCCTTTGTGGTTTTAATTGAGCATTTTATATTATTTCCTATCCTTTCTAAGCTTATCAGTTATGCTTCCTTTTTTACTTTTTTTTTTTTTTTTGGTGGTTGCTCTAGAATTTGCAATATAAATTTATAACTAATCCAAGTCACACTTTCAAATAACACTATACTGAATCACAGATAGTGCAAGTAATTTATAATAACAAAATAATCCTAATTCCTATCCTCTCATCACTTGCATAATAGTGTTTACTCATTCCATTTATACATAAGCATAGGCATGTGTTTATATGTTTATATATGTTTATGCATATTATATAAGCATATAGGCAAGGTGGAGTGGCTCATGCCTGTAATCCTAGCACTCTGGGAGGCCAAGGTGGGAGGACTGCTTAAGGCCAGGAGTTCAAGACTAGCCTGAGAAAGAACAAGATCCCATCTCTACAAAAAAATAGAAAAAATAGGTGTGGTAGCATGTGCCTATAGTCCCAGCTGCTTGGGAGGCTGAGGCAGGAGGATTGATTGAGCCCAGGAGTTTGAGGTTGCAGTGAGATATGATGACACCACTGCACTCTAGCCTGGGTGAAAGTGTGAGATCCTGTCCCCCCCCCCCAAAAAAAATATATATATAGCATATATATGTTTGTATTTATGTGTGTGTGTATACATATATATATATATATATATATGCTAGATTAAGAATAAAAAGTAGGGGGGAGGGGGGAAAGGGCATTTATTGAAACCTTAAAATCTGTACCCCCATAATATGCTGAAATTTAAAAATAAAAAGTAAAAGTTTTATTTTATTTTCATTTATCTCTTCTTTGATGCTCTTCCTTTCTTTATATATATCTGAGTTTCTGAAGTGTATCATTTTCCTTCTCTCTAAAGAATTTTTTTTAACATTTCTTGCAAGGTTGGTTTACGGGCAACAAATTCCCTCAATTTATTTATTTTTATTTACTAAAATCCCCAACTAGGGTACGAAGTGCTTCAAATTGGTCAATTCAACATCTCAATGTGCTATCAAGGACCTGGATTCTTCCCATCTTTTTCTTCTGATATTTTTGTTGTTGGCCTCATCCTCAAACTCTTACCAAGACGGCCACAGTAATTGGAGTATTCACTTTCTCACAGGGCAGCATCAAGAGGAATTAGCTCTACCTTAGGAATGGGAAAAGTTTTCCCAGAAGCTTCCTGATAGGCTTCCTCTCACGTCTCACTGGCCAGAACTGAGTTACAGAACAATTCATCATTGATAATTGACAAGGGGCGATGGGGTTGTCCGTGGAAGAATCAGGCTTATCCTTGGAACAGGGGGCGTTGTGCTGCAAGGAGGATAGGCATTCTTGTAAACAAAATGTGGGTGTTGTTAGGAAGGAAGAAGTGTGGCTGAAGGGTGGAAAGAAGCTGACAGCATAGCGTACAGTAGGGAATGATGGAATGCGACTCACTCATGGACAACTTTAAGAAGTGCATTATCGGCCCGGTGTGGTAGCTCACACCTGTAATCCTGGCACTCTGGGAGGCCGAGGTGGGCAGATTGCTCGAGGTCAGGAGTTCGAAACCAGCCTGAGCAAGAGCGAGACCCCGTCTCTACTATAAATAGAAACAAATTAATTGGCCAACTAATATATATATAGAAAAAATTAGCCGGGCATGGTGGCACATGCCTGTAGTCCCAGATACTTGGGAGGCTGAGGCAGAAGGATTGCTTGAGCCCAGGAGATTGAGGTTGCTGTGAACTAGGCTGACGCCATGGCACTCACTCTAGCCTGGGCAACAAAGTGAGACTCTGTCTCAAAAAAAAAAAAAAAAGAAGTGCATTATCTATAACTGAGAGCTATGCATAGGAATGATAAGGAGAAAACCAATAGTTAAAGAATCCCTGATCATGCCCCTCCTCCCTTCATGGTGCTCAGTTTTAGACATCCAAAGCTTATCTAATTAATTAGGCTATTCATAGACTAACAAAGGGATTAGAAAGTTGAGGATTATATGTAGTTATTTGAGGAACTGAAGAACTATATCAGGCAGTATGTTTTAATTCCAAATCAAAATATGCAAACATGACTTAAATTGGCTTAAAAAAAGAAATTTATTTATTATCTAATGTGGTAATGTAACAAGAATCAGGGTTGATTGATTCAGCTGCTTAATGACACTTTCATTCGAGGTTTTTCCCCATCTCTCTGTTCTGCCATAGTTGGTGTTGGCTTCATTTTTAGGCTGGTGGCAAGATGCTTTCAGCACTTCCATGTTCCGAAATGATGGTGTCAGGAAGATAAAAGGAGGAAGTATCTGTTCTTGTGGCTTTTCTTTAGAATAGAAGAAAATTCCTCAGAACCATCTTCCATTCAGCAGGATTCTCCTCATGTTTCACTAATCGGATTTTTGTCACAAGCTTGTTCATGGGCAAAATGTTAGCAAGAAATATAGAATTTTTGTGATTGGCTTATGTTAGTCATCTGGAGTCAAACGGATGTCTGGGTGTCAACCTCATAACTGGGAAGCTGAGTATACATTATGTGTGGAAGAGAAAAGGAGGAACAAGAGAATCAACAAGAGCTGATTTTGTTTACTGAGACAGTCTGGCAATATGGAGAGGTTATAGCTTGTCCCTGTACTCTCTCAAAATTGTAAAGGATTTCTAGTCATAACCCTACAGGAAATCAGGTGAAGACCATATTTTCTCACAGCTATGTCACCAACAAAGTCACCTGGAGCAAGGCTATCCTTCGTCTAGTCAAGGTTTGTTGAGCGCTGGGGAAAATGCTAAGGATAAAATCACTGGTTTTTGGTCCCTTCCCTCAAGGAGCACATAGTCAAGTGGGAAGTCATAACAGACTGTCTGAGAGCTATAAACAGGAGTGTGAGCTGAGCCCTGTGGCTCAGAGGTGGCGGAGAAGGGGGAAGAATCACAGGTGCCTGGGCTAAGTACTGAGTATGAATGAGTTTGCCAGATAAATGATAGGCAAGAGCAGTCCAGGTAAAGGGACATTGAGGCACGAAAGGATATGGCAGAATGAAACAATGTGAGGATACTTGGTGTGGCTGGTTTGTTAGAGTTGTCAGAGTTAAGGTAGGCAAAGTAGGCTTTGCACTGAAAGGTCTTGTAAGCTATGATAAGAAGACAGGGATCTTCAAAACTAGCAAGGAGCCACTGAAAGATTTTAAGCAGGGATGTGACCCTGTCAAATTTGTATTTTCTAGAGCTTACTCTGACAGTGGATGGAAGACAGTGCAGGGATGAGACCCAAATCAGACCAACTGTTTAAGGAGGTAAATTGAGCGGGCCTCAGTTTTCCTATTGGTAAAATGGGGTAGCAGGCATTGGATTAGGTCAGGTATCACAAGTGCAATTCTTCCAGGCTGGACAAGCCTTGCATATGTGTTAGGTGCACTGTGAGTAAATGGGAGCTGCATTGGATAAATGCCAACAGACTCAGTCCAAAAGGGGAACAGCAAATATTCAGCCCAGGTTACTATCTGTAGCCATAGACCTAGAGATTCCAAATTCTTCAGTTTTTTTTGCCCAAAAAAGTTCTGAATCACTTTTTATGAAATGTCTCAATTTTTATAGGTTTATGTACCTAATTCAAAAGTACCAACATCGGCAGCAACAAGACCATGCAGACCAAATAAATACATTCTGCTGGTATTCACCAGTTTGGGACCTTGAGAAGACATGACAAGCTCTAGGGCCTCTTCCAGCTCTAACAAGATGTGATTCCACCATTATCCCAGTGGCACTTGTGCTACACTGTCATTGTTCATTTATGGCAAGCCAAGCACATGGATAAAAATCTTCTGACTGTTTAAACAGGCTTTATCAAATATTTCTGGGATTGGCTAGTATTCATTCATTGATATTTTCATTTATTAGTTTGTTTGTTCAACAAGCATTTGTATAGTGTCAATTGTATATGAAGTGTTGTTAAACTGAGATGGAGAGATAAAAGAGAAAAATGAAACTTGAGGGTTGAGAAGGAAAGACGGGGACTTCCTTACACAAAGGGGAGATCAATCACTTCTCACCTGTTGCATCTGCCAGCAGGTCTTAGCGGAGAGGATTCTGCAGCCCAGCCCAGGGCCTTGGTGTTCACTCTTTCCCCTTCACAAACACAGGGTGGGCATGCTTGTTAATCGGGGGTCCTGGGATACTCAGGACCTGACAGCTTACTGTTCCATCTGGAAGAAAAGACGAATGACAAGAAAGGAAAGAAAATAAGTTACTGCTTACGAAAGTGGATTCTTGGCTGGGCGCGGTGGCTTACACCTGTAACCCTAGCATTCTGGGAGGCTGAGGCTGGTGGATCATTTGAGCTCAGGAGTTCAAGACCAGCCTGAGCAAGAGCGAGACCCTGTTTCTACCAAAAATAGAAAGAAATTACTTGGACAGCTAAAAATATATTGAAAAACATGCCTGTAGTCCCAGCTACTCGGGAGGCTGAGGCAGAAGGATCGCTTGAGCCCAGGAGTTTGAGGTTGCTGTGAACTAGGCTGATCCCATGGCACTCTAGCCCAGGCAACAAAGTGAGAATCTGTCTCAAAAAAGAAAGAAAGAAAGAAAGAAAGAAAGAAAGAAAGAAAGAAAGAAAGAAAGAAAGAAAGAAAGAAAGAAAGAGGATTCTTATGATCATTACAAGTTTAACAGTTGAAATTTCCTAAGGAGGGTAAAAAAACAAAAAACAAGCCCAGTCTTCTTTTTCCTTTCCAACAAAGGAACATGAAAATGCAAGGTGTAGAAAAATGTGTATTGTGTGGAAAATGTATAGAATACCTCTGGAAGGACACATTCACACAAGAAACTGGCATTTGAAATCTATTTAGTTTAATTCTATTTAATTAATTTTATTTAATACTTTTTACTCAACAGAAAGGGAGCTTAAAACAATGAGTGGAAAACTAAGAAATACCATACCACTAAAGAAAAAAAAAAAACAATAAATTGCCATTTTAAATTCATTTGTAACTATTTTAATGTAACATTTTTAAACAAAATGACCATTTTATAAGAATTACAAAGAGTTTGAAAATTATAATATTCAGTATAATGTGGAATAGTGTCTTTGTTACAAGCTTTAAAGACACACAGTATTGGCCGGGCGTGGTGGCTCACGCCTGTAATCCTAGCACTTTGGGAGGCCGAGGCGGGCGGATTGCTCAAGGTCAGGAGTTCGAAACCAGCCTGAGTGAGACCCCATCTCTACCAAAAATAGAAATAAATTAATTGACCAACTAAAAATATATATACAAAAAATTAGCCGGGCATGGTGGCGCATGCCTGTAGTCCCAGCTACTCGGGAGGCTGAGGCAGGATGATCGCTAAGCCCCGGAGTTTGAGGTTGCTGTGAGCTAGGCTGACGCCACGGCACTCACTCTAGCCTGGGCAACAAAGTGAGACTCTGTCTCAAAAAAAAAAAAAAAGACACACAGTATTGTTTCAACTTAGCAATTATAATAGTAAGGATTTATCCAAAGGAAATCCTTTAATATGTGTATAAAGATTTGACTATAAGGATAGTTATCCTTAGGGTTAATTTTTTAAAACCTAAAAATAGATTAGAAGACTAGCAATAGGGAATTGGTTCAATAAATGCCATACATTTGTTATTATCTAGTCATTAACCATGACTCATTTATTCACATGGAAAGCTGTCACAGGAAAGTATGTTTTGACTTATCTAGCAAGGGAATGAGCAAGTTGGGGCATTCTAACATGGTTTTTTAACAAAAGCAGTTATATGTCTCACAGCTCCATGGGCAAAAGAATAGTGCTGGCTGGGAAGGGAAGAACTGGGAGAGACCAGGCAGATCACACAGTTTAGGGCACTTTAATTTTAAGATCGTCAGGTAAATACCTCAGTCTAAACCAGTAAGGTCTGGTGTAGCAACAGAATAGAGGGCAATAGAAATATGTGAGCCATGTATGTTATTTTAAATTGCCTGTAGTGGCCAAATTTGAAAAGGACAAACAGACAGGTGATATTAATTTTAATAATATATTTTATTTAACTCAATATACCCAGAATATTATCATTTCAACATGTGATCAATATATAAAATCACTAATGAGATGGTTTATTACATTCTTGCTAAGTCTCCAGCAGCTGGTATGCCTTTTACACTTAGAGCACATTCTGCACCAGCCACATTCTAAGTGCTCCACAGCCAAGCCAGCGTGGCTGCTGGCTAGCATGCTGGACACAGACAGCACGCTAAGGTGGCAGCACAAGTAACACCAGTAACCAGTGTTCATAAGCTTGGAGGCTATTTTGTTCTCTGCCTCATTTGGGGGGAGTGGTTGGTGAGGAAGCCTTAGGTACTCAGATGAAAAGTTTACCTGAAAATAGGTCCAAGGGCAGGCAGCAGCAGAAGTCAGGAAGGGATCCCTGTTCTGGGGAAGAAGTTGTACTTTAATGTCCTCTCCAACACCGAGTCCCTGACCCCTACAGTGGGTTTCAGGCCCCTGACCTCACTGCTCCTGTTTAATAGACACAGCATGTATTCAATTTCATGTTATTCCTGTCAATGTCAAGTGCAGACAGAAAGACAGAAACAGAGAAAAAAAGTTGCCTCCACTGAGCAAAACTACCAAAGTAACACATAATTGTTTTTGTAGGCAGCTTTTATTTTCCCACATTATAAATGACTCTGTCAATATATATAGATTGGATCACATATGCTTTTGTGTCTTTACATGTTCAATTTCTTAGTGTTTGACGTGTTTATTTTAATGTTAGGGGTATGATTTAAGGTTGTTCACCAAAGAGTCTTGCTGCAACCTCAGAAACACTAACCTGGTGGGAGAATAAAGTGGTCCAGGCAAGAGCTGGGGAATTTACTCCATGACTTGCTTCCCAGGAAGAGAGCCAGGAGGGCCACATTTGTGCACTCAGGATGGTGCTGAGATCTAGGAAGGCACAGTCCTATTGGCAGTGGGGTGAAAATGCAGACATTTGCTCCTGTCTTTGTAGTGGGCAGATAGTATCATGATGAGGAGTTACCAATCTATAGTTCCTAAGTCTTGGCTTGCCCAATAGTCACTTAGGAATCTTAATAAAAATGCATAATCCTTATCTCTACCTTCAGAGATTCTAATTCAGCAAGTCCAGGGCTGGTCCAGAGGAGTCCGGGCATAACAAGTATACCAGGACATGCCGGTGCAATTGGTCCCTGACCACTGTCTGAGAAATGTTAGTATTTCCAGCAACACTTCAAGACACAAGGAACAGGACCTAGGCCCCCACTCATCAGGGGTGCTGGGAAGGATTGCATGGGGTCCGGGGAGGATCCAGCCTGTGAGGAACTGGGATCTCAATCGTGAAACTGAAGTGGACGCCTAGTCATCTGTCTGAGTCACAGAGACAGCAGGTAGAGGAAGAAGCAGGGGGATTCCTGAGTGCCAGCTCCCCAGAGCAGGAGCACAGAAAATGTGAGGCTCCTCTCAGACGCTCCCTCCCTCTGTTGGGGCTGACAACTTTCTCCCAGCGCATGCTGTTTTTCTCCGAAATGAGCCAACTGCTGAAGACTTGGCAGCTTCACCAAGTGATTTAATAGTTGATGAGTACTTTCTCTCTAATCTTGCTTGAAGTCCCCGTTACCAATGTGGAATCTCCTAACCTCTAGGTGGGGGATCCTGGAGTTAACTGTAAAAGCAATAACAGTCCAGAAGCTGGGGACACACGTCTCAAAGGTAAAATCTGGATTATTTACTGGGAGAGATTGAAGGCAGGGCGAGAAGGTGAGTGACGCCTTACCCGGGATGCGCCACCAGAGGGCGCCAGAGCATCCTTCTCCGATAGGCTTCCGGGAAACAAGGCTCTTCCCAAAGTGAGTATGCACCGAAATAACCCCAAAGGCAGAGGAGCGCGGCCTGGTTACCCCTGGAGAAGCCTTCTGAGGCATAGAATTTCGTGGACCCCATCAGTTTTATGTTAAAAGCTGATGCAGCTCTCCATGGAATTTCTGACTGCATCCTGGTAAACGGGACGCCCCGCAGGGCGCCGGTCAGTCTCTGGCGCCCCCGACCCCGCGTCCCGGATTCCTGCGGCAGGACGTAGCTGAGGGCGCCACCCCGCTGCTGTCCCCACCCTCTGCCCTCAGGACCCACCTGCCTGTGGGCACCTCCTACTTGCCCTGACTTTGAACTTGAGACCCCGGGCTGCCAGGGCGGATGACCCCCTAGAGCCTCTATTCCATTGTCTTCGTTTCACACAAGGGAAACTGAGGCTGGAGGGCGGGGGCACAAGAGACCTGTTTAGAGTCACACTTCAGGTTAGTCTTGCGGCCAACGTGAAACTGTTTTTCCTCAACCCATGAACGGACACTGCCATCCCCAACAGGAAGGGGGCTTGGTGCACGTAGGTGATCATCTAAAGTCCAGACAAGGATAAGAAAGAGTCTGAGATCCAGGACGTGAGGTCCACAGGGCAAAAGAGCCCCCCTGGTGCAGAGAGGTGGGGGTGGGGAGTCTCGACTATAGTCTTCTGCAAAATTCCCGCGTGGTGCTGCCACCCCCTGGACAATTAGGGAATTAAACTCAAACTGCCTTAAAGTTAACTTTTCCGTTAAAATAATATTTCATAAAAGATTTCACTTGCTATATTTCTATCATAATACTTTTTCCCTAACGCATTTGCTTGGTACTTCCAAGCTCCGTGATCATCATTAGAGAAATACTAAGGGACAAATTTGAAGAGATTTGAAGATTTCACAACTAATTACCAAGAAATTAAATCACAGACTGAATTTCTTCTAGACAAAGCCTTTATGAGTGTGGAAGATCTGTAAATCTGGAAGCCAATATGCATTTGCTACATGATCACTAACTCACATAATATATTCTGAATTAAAATAATAGTAAACAGTTGTTATTTACTTTATGCTGTATCCATACTTACTGTGGGTAAAATATTTTATGGATAAAACATGGACAAAGTACTTTATGGCTACATAAAAAAATAAATCCATACTTTATGTGGATCAATTTATTTAATCTCACTATAACCCCCCAAAGCAGGAGTTATTATTATCCTCATTTTACATATAAAGAAACTGAGGCTGGAGGATATTGAGTAACTTGCCCAAGGTTATGCCACAAACAGACAATGAATTGGAGACCAACCCTCACAGTGTGGTCTGGAAGCCTGTGCTCTTTTTTTTTTTTTTCCAAGACAGAGTCTTGCTTTGTTGCCCAGGCTAGAGTGAGTGCCGTGGAGTCAGCCTAGCTCACAGCAACCTCAAACTCCTGGGCTCAAACAATCCTTCTGCCTCAGCCTCCCAAGTAGCTGGGACTACAGGCCTGTGCCACCATGCCTGGCTAATTTTTTCTCTATATATTAGTTGGCCAATTAATTTCTTTGTATTTATAGTAGAGACGGGGGTCTCGCTCTTGCTCAGGGTGGTTTCGAACTCCTGACCTCGAGCAATCTGCCCACCTCAGCCTCCTAGAGTGCTAGGATTACAGACGTGAGCCACCATGCCTGGCCTGGAAGCCTGTGCTCTTAGCCACAAGGCTAGTGGTTCTCCACGTGTGGCCCCTAGACCAGCATTGTCATCACCACCTGGAAACTTGATAGAACGGCGAGCTCTCAGGCCCCATCCCAGACCTGAATCAGAAACTGGGGATATGCCTGGTGCGGTGGCTCACAGCCTATAATCCTAGCACTCTGGGAGGCTGAGGCAAAGCGGGAGGATGGCTCAAGGTCAGTAGTTCAAAACCAGCCTGAGCAAGAGCGAGACCCTGTCTCTACCAAAAATAGAAAGAAATTAATTGGCCAACTAAAAATATATATAGAAAAATAATTAGCCGGGCATGGTAGCGCATGCCTGTAGTCCCAGCTACTCAGGAGGCTGAGGCAGGAGGATCGCTTGAGCCCAGGAGTTTGAGCTGTGAGCTAGGCTGATACCATGGCACTCACAGACTGTTCAGCCAGCTCCCAAGATTGGTTAGTGCCGGTGATAATCCCTCTTATATCTTGCTTCTATTATATATCACAAACCCTGACTACTACACAGGCACAGAGAGAGGACACCCACCTAAGAGCAGACGATAGACAAGCCAACAGGGACCCAGGAACTGGGGGCCTGAGAGAGGAAAAAATGTTGGAGACTTAAGGTATCCTGGGGATTGTTAGGATGATGCAGTTTTCAGGAGAAAGTCAACCAAAGTGCGGTAACCCTGATCCTGTGTACCATCCTTAACACAGGGTTATACAGACACCACTGGTTGCTTAGCACTTATCCACAGAGTGACAGTGTCTGCATTTGGTGGAAGGATGCTAGAACAGCCTGCCTGATTTGAGGCCCAGCTCCCCCACTTACCAGCTGGGGAACCTTGGGCAAGTTGCTTAACCTCCCTTTGCCTCAGTTCGTTCACAAGTAAGATAGAGATAATAGTAACTATCTCAGAGGTTGTTGAGAAGTTTACATGAGTTAATTTATGTAAAGCATCTAGAATAGTCCTCGGCACCTACTAAGCACTATTTAAATTTCTCATATTTATTTATAGGAGGTGTTCATATTTACAGGCAACTGAGGTTTTATCTGTCTCTTGAAGAGCACCTCTCCCCTTCTTTCCCCCCACAATTTGTCCCTGGAATTCGCCTCATCTCCCACCTCTCCCCCACCCAAAGCCCTGCATCAGCCTGCATGGAGGGAGCCTTTCGATCAGCATGCCAGCCCTTTCCTAGGTCTTCCCTGCCCTAACCTCACCTATGGAAACCAGTTATCAGCATCTAAAACCCAAGGTGCAAATGATCTTCTGAGGTCCGAGTGATCATGGCTGGGGACATGGGGGAGGCAGTGATGGTAGCGTTTTCTTGCCCTTATCACTAACTTATTGAGCATCCACTGTGTACCATACAGCTCACTAAGCACATTACATATAACGCTTCGTTCAGTCTTCCCAACGTGTTGGGCAATACTACCTTTGTTTCTCGGGAGAGGTAGTTGAAGCTAAGAGAGGTTAGAAAACTGCCTGAGGTCAGCCAAAGAGTCTTCAGGTCAGGGTAGGAAACCAGATTGGTGTGGGCTGCACAGCCTTGGCCAGCACTTTCCACTATAGAACATGCCCTTGGGTTTTCTAGTCTTTGTTAGAAAATCTTGAAAGGGATGTGTACTGCTTTAGGGACTGCAGGCACTAAGGAGAAAAGCAGAGAAACAGGAGAAGTGTCAGTTTCCTTGGGCTGTTGTAACAAGTTCCACAAATTCAGTGGCTTAAAACAACAGAAATATATTGTTTACCAGTCCTGGAGGCTAGAAGTCCACAATGGAGGTATCATAGGACCATGCTCTCTTTGAAGGCTCTGGGGGAGGATCCCTTCTGGCCTTTTCTAACTTCTTGTGATTGCTGGCAATCTGTTCCAATCTCTGCCTCTATCTTCACATGTCCTTCTCTCCTTTGTGTCTCTGTCTACAAAGTTCCTTACTGTAAGGACACTAGCCTTAGGGCACACTCTCATCCATTATGACTGCATCTTAATTACATCTGCAAAACCTTATTTCCTAATAAGATCACATTCATAGGTACCAGGGGTTAGGACTTGAAACTATCTTTTTGTGGTGATACAATTCAACCTACAACACGTTATATTTGTAGGGATAAAATACAAAACCTCTATGGTAAGTAAGGATCACTTAATAAATGGCAGCAATTATCAGTATTATTAATATAACAATAGATGGTCATAGCTCTATTGGAATTTGAATAGTGAGGAATTCTACATGACAAAAGCATATGAATGCGAGGAAACTGGATGAAACAGAGAACCTAGCCTCTTTCGACATAAATTAGAGGCCTGTAAAAGAAAGAAATTTAACTTGGAGTCAAAAGCTTTAACTTCAAGTTCTGCAACTTCCTTGTGCAGAAGGTATTTAACCTTAACCTAAGAGATTAAATCCCAGCATTTCCTTCATCTTTTCTGTAGTATCAGGTGGCTGGATCAGATGATCTTTGCATACCTTTCCTGCTCTATTTTTCTGTGATTCTCTTATCTATTTCAAATTACCCCAATTTGGTCAGAAGAAACTCAAAATTTTGAAATTTTAAAAGAAACTCTTACAAAAGGAAAGTTGAGTTTGAATAGTAGTAAAGATGTATTTGGACAAAGATGCAGGAAGCAATAAGTTTTTTAAAACTACCTTTTGCATCCTAAAATGCACGTCTGAGTCAAAGCTGAAGAATAGTATGGGGGGAGATGTAGAAGTATCCATGCCAATCCTTGATTCACGTTGGCCTTCAAATACCTAACCTATAGCTATAATTATAGGGAAGCCCCTTTCAAAGTTTCTTTTGTTTTTAATTCAGATATTGTTTATTAAGCTAGACATTAAAGAGATTTGTAAAAAATGTAAAACAATGCTACTCATTACAATATTTTGGTTTTGGAAAATACAATTATTTTAATAAAAATAAATTATATTGACTTATAAAAAAAAAATCTCTCCAAGAATTACCAGCCTTTTAGAAAATGGACTATTGTAAGAGGGTTATAATACAAGATTATTGTTTAATAATAACTTTACAGTTTTTTTTGAGACAGAACTTCTCAATTATAATTATAATTTGTGACAATTATAATTTGTGATAGAACTTCTTGCATATGTAGAGTTGAAGAACCCATACAGTCCTTCAGTCTTTACTTGTGCAAGGCTAGTTCTATGTGTCTGTTTTCCACAGTGAGCATATGTAGTCGTTATTAAAGGCTATTCACTAGATATTTGCAACTCTCATTAAGGCATCTGATGGGATTGGACTCCCCCAGCACTATTGGATGGATTATGTAGATTTTTTTAGGTCAATGAAATTTGAGCAGAAATGATGTGTGACCTTTCTAGATAGAAAGCAGTGCATAATTCACCATGCCCTCCTTCCCAATGTCCTGGTGACCAAGGAAGCAGTTGCTGAGAGGAAACAACTGTCAGCCTGTGCCCTGAGTCTCAACTGATGCTCCTTGGGCATGTAGCAAAAGCAAGAAATCGACTTGAGTCACTGAGATTTGGGGGTTGTTTATTACTGTGGCATACGCCGGCCTATCCCGGCTGACACAG